ATGCAGAGCCGCCCGGACCGGTGGCCAGGACCCGGGCAGTGTGAGTGCCACTGAAAATCGGCACACGTGCCATAGGTTGCCTACCCCTGTACTATATCAGGTGTGGAAGGGCCATTTGCAGTTTCATAGTACATGTGCTAATCTAAGTGTAGGGATTTGTTGGACTGGCCTAGCAGTTAACCACCAAAAGAGAGATGGGAGGAAGGAGGCCATGGGCCTACCCCCTTTAAATCTAGCCAAGAGAGCAAGCTGTCTGCAGAGGGAAGTGTGTGGTGTACTCCTTGAGGCAGCCATACTTCCCCTGCACAAGTAGGAACTCTGAGAGGTACCAATTCTGATTTTCAGAGGTGCTGAGCAGCACTGGCTCCTGTTGACTTTAAGTGTGAAACCGCTGATGCTCAGCACTTCTGAGAATCAGCCTCAGAATGCCTTTCTGAACAGCAACACTTTTAGAGCTCCTGCTGCAGCGATGCCTCCCATCCACTCAATCGCAGGCTAGTGCCTTAAAGGCACAATAGATTTGCTCAGGGCAACGTAGCAGGTCTCCTGGTTTTTGTTTTGTTTTAAAAGTCACTTTGAGGCTTGCATTTTACGCTTGTGGACTGTAAGACCTATTATTATTATGTTGTTCTTATTCAAAATCTTCATAAAAAGAAAAGAGAAAAAAATCCAATAAACTATAGTGTAAATCTTTTTCCCAGTGTATAGAAAAGCAATGAGCCATTTTAAGAGCAGGAAGAACACGCATCCTGAGATTCAATAGATCATCTAAATTGGTCCCAAACTGAATTTTAAAAATGGCTTTGCAAAGACTTTTGTTCAGAACAAATTTAGCATTACAAAACTCACAATATAAATCAAAATAAATCAGATTTCTTTGCAGATTATTTTGTACTCTAACAATGTGCAGTTTAACCACTAGAAAAAAGGTTTATTGATTAATATACATGACCCTTTCTGACTAGGCTTATTGCACTGCTTAAAAATGCCAAAATAACATTTTTCATTGTTACTTAATGCTAGCTTTTGTATTGTGAATTAAATTTCTCATATTTCAGTAAAATGTTGATTTAACTCCAAATCCATCGCTTTCTGGTGTTACAGATTTTATATTTGAAATTTTGGATTTGTAAATCTAAAATTTCTCACTTGTTTGAGCTCCTGCAAACTCCCTGCTGGAGGGGAAAGTGTTCTAGGACTACACTGCCATGTACTATAAACATATAATAATGCCTTCTCTGAGTGGAACTTACTGCTTAACTTAGCCTGGTGAGATCCATTTAACACAGACACTTGGTGATTTCAGGGATCAGCCATAGAGAAAAAAGGTTCAGAAAATTTCTACCTTCATTCAAGGAGTATTGCGTGTGCCATTGGCTTTATTCTTTGTATCATGGTGTTTTAATCTGAATTCTCTAACTTCCAAGTAGTGATAATGTCAGTGTATTGGTGGACTACCTGCAGGCTCTCTCCACCCCAAAATCGCCTCTGCATGCTTTCCAGATTGTAGAGTGAGACTGTCCTCCCTCTCCAGAGGAGAAAAAGCAGACCCTGAAAGTAGGCATGTAATACCATTTTTGGCATCTCCTTTCCCATTCCAGGAGGGCCCCAGCTAAAAATTTGGGCCTAGTAGCCGGTCTTCTGGAAAAACAAACAGAAATAGTTCAGTTAAGAATAAATTGTTTTTATTTCTGTAACCCATGGTTGACTTTGATGGGAGTTTGGGGTGTGCAAGGAATGTAGAATTGAATCCATAAAGCTTAGCTCTAACAGTGGTTTGGTTTTATTGATCTCCAATGGCATTTAAAAAGGAGGAATTTCTGAAGAGGAACTTTTGAATGGATTTATGTTAGAGGATCAAATTTTACGTACAGCTAGTCTATCTTAATATTTTGTGGCTATAGATTTTCCTGGGAGCTGTCTATTTCATGATTGAATACAATGTGTATTACTTTTTAAAAATTAAACTTAATCACAAGAAGACTGCAAAAAACCTAATGTTTAAGCTATTTTGATCTGAAAATAACAGAGTAGGGAAGAAAATAATTTGTCATAAATTCATAATGCCTTTACTCCATTCTCCTGGCCAAAACTTCCCCTCCCCGTCTATACTGCTTGGTTTCTTCTCACTGCAGCATAGGCTAGTTGCATTTCAGTGCAGCAGTATGTTTATAGAGGGAGATGTGTTTTAAGTGATAATTCAAGGAACCAAATGTGAATTGTAACTCCCATTTAAGTAATAATGGTTACAGTTAAGTGTGTAGTAAAGTGCTTTGTTGAGTTGGGGCTTTGATGAGGATTTAATTGTTTTGTGTGTGTTTCATTTTAACAATATGATTGATAAAGGAAAAAAAGTTAAACACCTGGGCTTATCACCTCCCGTCCCCCTTTTGGCTTTTGCTTCAGTCCAATAAATTGCCCTTTCCATAACAGCAATGCTTAGGGTAGAGAAAAAATGAGATAGTATTTAATGGGTATACTTTCCAATTCAGTTTATTTTCTGTTATTTCTCTTTTCCAGTTTGCTTTATTTACCACGCTGTCTATGCTACCTAAGCACCATATTTTACTGCATTTTCCAGCAGAGAGATGTTGCTTTTGCTCTTTCCATTTCTGCAGAAAATAATTTGTCATAAATTCATAATGCCTTTACTCCATTCTCCTGGCCAAAACTTCCCCTCCCCGTCTATACTGCTTGGTTTCTTCTCACTGCAGCATAGCTAGTTGCATTTCAGTGCAGCAGTATTCTGCAGAAATGGAAAGAATTTCTACATGAATGTTACTGAATGTCAAGCTCAGCACAGCTTACACAGTGTATTTTGGATTCTTATACTCCACAATCATTCCAAGCTTGGATCTTTTCAATCTTAAATTATTCGAGTGTTGGATCATTTAATTTTCATATTGTTCCTATTCTTTTGTTCCATGTACAATGCAGCTTGTTTAAATCCTATATTATCACATTTTCCAGTTGTGTTTTTACTGTTCAATCTCTGACTTCACTTCCCCTTCTCTTCCACATCATCATAATCTGCAGTCTGTTATATATATCTATCATAATTAAGAATCTGTATTAGTTATTATGGCCCTGATTCATTAAAGCACTTAAGTATTTGCATAAGTGCTTTGCTTGGTTGGGATGGAATTTCTCCCATGTATTAAGCACATGCTTAAGTATTTTGCTGAAACTGGGCAATTATTATTATTTTTAAGAAGTTGTGACGAGCTCTTTTACTTCAAATGCCTTTGATTATCATAAATCATAGCCCAATAAGGAAATGTCAAACACAGTAAAGCCTGATGGTTACTATCCATACCATCAACAATGTCAAGTTTGCATACTACATGTTAGTGCAGGCTGTGCGCTCATACAAAGAGCGTCCTGTAGACCTCTTCTCCTCCCGTTCACAATGGAGTAGCCCGACTCCTATTCTACTTGAAAGTATGCAGAAACTACTTGGAAACTACTCATAGCAATTGTTTACATAGAAATGTCATATGAGAAAAGCATTAACATATTTTTAACTGTGTAGTGCAATAATTATTTAGTCCTTTTTGAAAAAGTCACACTGTCTTCTTTCTCTTCAGTCATCCCTCTTTCCATCTTTTCTGTCCCCTCTCTCCCCCTGGCATTGGCTTGTCTGCCACCCTGGGCCTCTTTCTTCTTTACAATTATATGTACTTCTTCGCTGCTTGGACCTACTGTACAGTGTATGTATTGCCCAATGCCTGGTTCTCTACTTCCGGGGACATGCTGCCTAGCCATCTGGTCATCCTCTCCCATGCTTACCCTGGTTATGCTGCCTGGTTACTTTGCTCCCTTCTCCAATGGACATTCCCTTCCTGTTGATTATTCTAAATAATGCCTGTCAGCTTCAATCCAATTTGTGCTTGTAGTCCCTGAAGATGGCTTCATTTTTTCTCTCTTATTTTTGATGTCGACAGGTGGGCTTTCTTTCCAATGCTTTTACAGATATCCAGACTCCTAACTGCTATGAAAAAATCTAGCTGCCTAGAAACAGCTGTACACACAAGTAGGAACTAGTATCACATGACCTACCAATTCTTTCCAGATCACCAACTAGTGCTCTGCTGACCATATTTTGACAAGTGTTTCTATATGTATTTTTATCTTACTAATACAGTCCACCAACAGTTAAAAGAACAACAAAGTTTCACGGTTGTATTAAAAAAGTAGAAATTGACACAGTTAAAGTTGAATATGTATTTTCCTGACTCTTGGGGTGCTTACTGGTTTAAATTTAACACTCTATTAATAATTTTGATGGAATTTCATAGTTTGTTTTTTTACAAAGAAATACAAAAGAAAATCCATAATATAGAACAACTTGGTTAGCTACACCTCACAAAGACTAGAGGAAAGGACCTTTCTCCTTCAGAGATGTTCAATTTTTATCTTACAAGATTTGCAGTGAATACAGGAAGTACTCTTGTACTTCATTTATTGAGAGCCTTACAAGATGACAGACGTTGAAGAAGGTAAAGGCTCCTGTTGAAACCTTCCCTTTGTTCAGTGGTACCTTCACTATATCACTCTACAGATAAACTACCGAGCGTACCCTCCCTAGCTGGGTACTTCATGACTTCAGCAAGAAAACTCAAAGTAAAATGCACTGCATGTTCAGAGTACTATTTTCAATGGACTATACGTTTATCAAATCAAAATGAACTTTCCTAGATCATTCATAAACACCTCAACTTAATGAAGGCTGTTTTAATGTCAAATTTCAACTTAGTATTCCAACCTTTACTGTTTTAGAGTTGTTAAACAAACAAAACAACACCACAACTGTAGAGGATAATGTTTTAATGAGAGACTATATTTATTTAACTTTGGGCAGAGAAAATCTTAGTCCAAAAAGTAAAGGTTTCAGATGCAACAGAAAATAGGGGGTTAAAATGGAAAAGCTTATGTAACCTTAACTATTATTTACTACCATTCTTTCCTTAAAGTCTTTGTGTTTCATTTATTGACTACAGGTTGATGCCTTGAGATTACGACTGGAAGAAAAAGAAACTTTTCTTAATAAAAAAACAAAACAACTGCAAGACCTCACAGAAGAGAAGGGAACCTTGGCTGGAGAGATTCGAGATATGAAAGACATGTTAGAAGTAAAGGAAAGAAAAATCAATGTCCTTCAGAAAAAGGTAAGACTTGTAACAAAATAATATGTTGTAAAATTTGAGAGAAACTAGCAAGAGCATGTATTCATTTATTACAGTATACTGCCTTTAATGTGATATAAAACACAAGGGCTAAGACTGCAATCTTTACTCATGGAAGTAGTTCCTACTGACATGATTTGTCCTGTTGACTTCAGTGGGACTATTTCTGTACGGATTATTTACATAAGTGAAGGTTTTGAGATTGGGCCCACCATCTGCAATTATTACATTCAGTATAGAGAACACCATATGATGTAGTGTGTACAAAATTCATGAAGTTAAGGAAAAAACTCTAATAAATTCAGATAAAATTCTTTGACTTTCAAAAAAGCCAGATTCTGTTAGCCTTACTCACATTGAGTAGTGTCACTGAAATGAATGGGACTGCTTAAGGAATAAGGTACTATTCAATGAAAGAGTGACAGAATCTGGCTCAGACTATTTCACTTTTTATATTACACATTTTAAAGATTTGAAAAATAACCTAATTAGAGAACCTAAATTCTTTGAGTTCTTATGTCCTGTGCTTTGTGTGTGCAAAAATCCAAGAAACCAAAGACACTCCCCCAAAAGGGGAACAAATGCTATCATGAAACAATTTATTCCCACTCCCCCCAATTTTTTTTTTAACAAATAGCAAATTTTCCACAGATTCAGCTAACTCACTTTATTTTATTTGGGAGGTTGGCCTTACCTTAATACTGTCCACTCTAGGGAAAGAAACCTTTTTGGAAAGCTAATAGCGTAACACTACATCTGTTCTATGTACAGTCTCTCTCTATATAAAATGAAAGAAGAAAGAGAAGAAAACACAAGGTCCACTAGTATCTGAAATCAAGTATGTTTTAATGTATATTTTAAAAAATAAAATAAATTCACTTTCAATTTGTAGCCTATCAACAGGTCCCCGCTCCATGTTTTGTGATATATATATGAATATATGTATAGTATGTCTAAATGATATGCTTCTTAAAACAGACTGTTGCTAATTATAAGAACAAAATTAAAAGCAAACCAAATATATTCTTCTCCAGGATTCCTCCATCTTTAGCATTGAAGGGTTCATATGGGCTGTATGTGGGTCTATGAGGTTGGCTAGATGTGGATGCTTGAGCAATGCAAGATGTGCTTGCATTCTCAGGAATTGAGAACGTTGTCCCTATAGGCCCAGGAAGTAAGGGACTGAGTTCAAGACCAGAATTTGGATCCCTGCCCTCTGTTTTTTTTTTTAATGAGATTCTTTAAGAAAAAAAAAGTTGACATTCTTAGATATTCAACTCTAGTTTGTAACCTTGATGATGTGGAAGATATCAAATCATAAACCTTTCATTGATCCTGGATTGAATATTATTTGTTCTGGATCTCAAATTAGGATAATTTTGAAGAGGGGAAAAATAAATGTTATGGCTTGTGATTAAAAAAAAGGCAACTATTTGAAGCCAGTCAGAGGTTTGGAATATCACTAAAATTAGTCCTGGGAGATACAGATCAGTAGGCAGAGTGCAGGACAGGTGCTCAAACGGTTATGATAAAAGTAACTTGTCACAGAAGTATCATAACCAAATTAGGGACATGTGGTCTAGATGAAATTACCATAAGGTGAGTGCATAACTGGTTGTTGAAAAACGGTACTCAGAGTAGTTATCAATGCTTCGCTATCAAACTGGGAGGGCATATGTAGTAGGGTCCTGCAGGGTCCATCCTGTGTCCGGTACTAATCAATATTTTAATTAAGGACTTGGCTAACAGAATGGAGAAAGTGCGTAAAAATGTGTGGGTGACACTAAGCTGGGGTGGAGTTGCTAGCATTTTGGAGGACAGGATTAGAATCCAAAAGGACGTTGACAAATTGGAGAATTGGTCAGAAATCAACAAGATGAAACTCAGTAACGACAATTGCAAAGTACTACATTTAGGTACTGACGATAGGACAAGAAGTAATGGGCTTAATCTGCAGCAAGGGAGGTTTAGGTTATATGTTAGTTAAAAACTTTCTGACTAAGGGTAGTTAAGCTCTGAATAGGCTTCCAAGGGAGGTTGCAGAATCTGGAGGTTTTTAAGAACAGGTTAGGCATACACCTGTTAGGGATGGTCTAAGTATACTTGATCCTGCCTTAGCGCATGGAGCTAGATTAGATGACCTCTTGAGTGTCCCTCCAGCTAACATTTCTATGATTCTAATATATAGTGAATGTAAGCTTTTGAATATACACTATATTGCATTATTTTTGTATTTTGGTTTAAGATTATTCCATTGGTGTATGAAAGAGGTACAGTAAATTCTCTACCTACCATACATTCTGTATAAAACCCTGGGTTACCTAATAATTCTGCCAAAAAGATCTTCATTCCATTTGATCGCAAAGTTGTACACTTCCATATCAAATTAACTAAAATGCAGTGTTTGTTCTTTTATATCCATACATATATAAATAGACCTGTAGTCTTTCAAAATACCTGACTTTTTACTGAAAATAACAATTCTAGAGTTGCACTACTATTCCCAACTGAATCCCAGCATGAACTCTTATTACGATCTAGTAAGTGCGTCCCCTGGAATGTGCATGGTATACAGTGCAAGAAATAAATCCTGGTAAGAACTAATTGCGAAATGTACCCAATTGGTTCTCTAACGTTGGAATTAGTGCCTGACTTTATTTTACTTGAATAATGTACTGCATCAGGATATGTCTGATGTTCATGTTGTACGCTAAGGGCCAAATTCTTGTTTTACTTGCAGAAGAAATGATCAATGGGATTACATGCATGAGGATTTGGCACTAAATCATTCTTTGGGATCATAGAGTTAAATGTATGTGTAGATTTAGACTATATGGGGTATTTGTAATGAGCCCATTGCCATAATATCTAGGTGCTGATTTACCCTGGCATGCCCAGACATAATTATTGTGTAAATATCATAATTTTATTTGTATGGTAGGGATATAATGCATGGAAAATTCTTTTAGAATTACCTTCGGGTCACATTTACAACTTAGTATGAGGCTTTCAATAGTGTACGAACATGTTTAGGGTTACATTCATTCACAGATGATTTATCTGAAGAAAGTTTAAACTGAAACATTATCACCCTTTCTCCCCAATTGTTTAAATAAATTCACATCATGATACTATAAAGGAATTTTTTTCTGTTTATTTTCCTTATGTCTGATGTACAATCCCAAAGTAGAAATTCTGTAGGTTTCCATCAAAAGTACAGACTTTTCTGCACAAAGCTAAAAAGTTAATCTTTTCATCGAGCCCACCTGTATTTAGACTGATTATTCAGAATGTCTTCCTTAAATAAAAACCCAAAAGCCACCCCCCTTTTTTATCCTGTGTGACCCAAAGGGATGTCTCACCCCTTCTCTAGGACCCAGTAAATTATTTTATCCTTTATCCACTAGAGATGTAGAATGTTAAGTATCGGGGGTAACCGTGTTAGTCTGTATCCACAAAAACAACAAGGAGTCCAGTGGCACCTTAAAGACTAAAAGATTTATTTGGGCATAAGCTTTTGTGGGTAAAAAAAGACTTCTTCAGATGCATGGAGTGAAAATTACAGATGCAGGCATTATTATACTGACACATGAAGAGAAGGGAGTTACCTAACAAGTGGAGAACCAGTGTTGACAGGGCCAATTCAATCAGGGTGGATGTAGTCCTCTCCCAATAATTGATGAGGAGGTGTCAATGCCAGGAGAGGGAAAGTTGCTTTTGTAGTGAGCCAGCCACTCCGAGTCCCTATTTAAGCCCAAATTAATGGTGTTAAATTTGCAAATGAATTTCAGTTCTGCAGTTTCTCTTTGAAGTCTGTTTCTGAAGTTTTTTCCCCCAAGTATGGCTACTTTTAAATCTGTTATAGAATGTCAGGGAGATTGAAGTGTTCTCCTACTGGCTTTTGTATGTTATTATCCTGATGTTCAATTTGTGTCCGTTTATTCTTTTACGTAGAGACCGAATAAAGAATAAATGGACACAAATCAGACATCAGGAATGGTAACATACAAAAGCCAGTAGGAGAACACTTCAATCTCCCTGGACATTCATTTTGTCTTCTCCCTTACACCGGTTCTGTTCTTTTTTTTTTCTTCTTAAATCTAGCCTCCCTATTCTATTTGTGCTTTGCTGATGCTGGGTTCCTTTCTCCTTTTCTCCCCTAGTATATACATCCCTGCCATCCTTCTCTCATGCTCCACTGGTGTCCGGTCACCGCTCCACTTTCCTTTTTGGTCCCTTGGATATTGCTCTCCCTGTGGAGCCTTTACTGTTGGTAGCCAGACATTTTGGTGCTTAACATTTGAGGTTCATCTGTCTCTAGCAAGAACTGTGTATATTCCAAATATACTATCTGAAATGGAATATGAACTCTTTCAGATGGAACATAAGAGCCTCCGCAGAAACAGATTATTTCGTCCTTCTGGTGAAATATCCTGTCTCTTGCAGTGAACAACTTGGCATAGGTGCTGGAACTAAGGGAGCTGGGGATGTGGCAGCACCCCCCTGGCTTGAAGTGGTTTCCCTCATATACAGGGTTTACAGTTTTGTTCAATGGCTTTCAGTACCCCCACTATAATAACTGTTTCAGCACCACTGCTTGGATGCAGATACATGCATGGTTGCCAAGTTATTCTCTTGAAAACATTGAATATGATGGAACTGCAATTTTAAAAATGTTCACACTAGTCATGAGCCTCTTCTGAAAGTATGACAAGCCTAATTAGGAAGGCTTCATTTTCTTCTATGCGGGGTCAGATTTTGATGGGTTTTTCCCATGTTGAATAACACCTGGCTCTGCGAGTAGTCTTATTTTTTCAGTGGGACTGCTCTGAGTAAGGTCCTACTCAACATACGGCAGAGTGTCAGAATCTAACTTATTGTTTTATATTGCTAGTGTAGAAGCATAAAAATGATTCTATTGAGTACTTACTAATAAAGATGGGAAAGAAAGAAAGAAAAGCATTGGGAATATTTTGATAGCC